TAATAAGTATGAGTTATATCATCCAAAATTATTTAGTGTAATATTTATCTTATAGTTTAAAAACTTATTGCAGATAATAAATAGTAAAATTCATTGTAGTACTATTAACTTTGTCCTGTCCTAATTCAGAGGAAACCTATGGCAATTTCCTTAATTGCCTTGCCACTGCCTTTGCTCAATGCTTACTAGACATAAATTAAATTAGATTTTGACATAAATTAAAGTTATATAGTAAAATTGCTATTTGCATGACTCCTAGTTTGTCTACAGTCAAAAAAAATATTTTTTTCTGCTTGCTTCCGATTTAAAATATATATATACACAAAATTATTAAATACCATGTGAAATGTTAAAGAGAATATTAATTTTGATATGATTTATACGGTTGATTTTTAGGTTAACTCCAATTTGGAATTGATCACATTAAGTGGAGAGGACATCACGTCTATATGGCAAGACCAGTTTCCAGAACATCAGTTTTCCAAAGTGAAATTTCTTGAGATCATTAAGGATGATTCAGCATGCTTTCCAATTGAAATCCTTGAGGGATTTAACAACCTCCAAAAACTGGTATTAACAGTTTGTCCATACAAAGAGATTTTTTCATGTGGAGAAGATGAGAAACGTGCTGGGATGCTCACACAGATAAAACAATTGGAGCTACGGGGACTTTCTAATTTGAAAGACATATGGAAACAAGACTCTCATTTAGACTCAATTATTCAAAATCTTGAAATGCTAGATGTCTATTTTTGCCACACTTTGATTAATCTACTGCCATCTTCAGCGACCTATGAAAGTCTAACTAGTCTATTCGTATGGCAATGCGATGGATTGATAAACTTGGTATCATCTTCAACAGCAAAAAGTCTAGTGCGACTCGAACGAGTGACAATATACGACTGTAGAATGATGACAGAAGTAGTATCAAATGAGGGAGATACAGAAAACGATGAAATTGTTTTCGACAAATTGAAGTCATTGTCACTTGAAAATTTAAAAAGTCTCACAAGTTTTTGCTCTGGGAGTTACACATTCAAATTCCCATTTTTGGAAGACTTAGATGTGGTTAAATGCCCCAATATGAACACATTCTCTGGAGGAGTCTTAAGCACACCAAACTTAGACAAAAGAGAGCATATTTTGTATGACGATAAAAAATGCTGGGAGGGTGACCTTAACACTACTATACAACAACTTCACAGGAAAGTGGTAAGTATTCAGTGAACGATTACTTTTATCTGGATTTTCTTATTCCCGTTAACACTTGTGTATTGGTTATATTTAAATTGTTTTAAGATTTGTTTGGACTGCTTAAACATTAAGTGGTTTGATATCTCTACATGGCAGGTTGGTCAGAAATTTCCCGGCAGCTCTTCCAATAGTGCTTGAACAACAGAAGTGTGTCTGCCCAAAACACAAAGAAGTTGAGCTTTTAGTTAAATGCATTTTATACTTTATAGACAAAGAAAGTATCCTGCTGCTTCGTAATTTGATGGTCTTATCCAAAATCCTAACAAAATTTTGTGTTAATACTTGTGGAAATTATGCAGGGGTTAAGTTATGGAGAGAATAATCCCAAAAGACATAAAAACTGCAGTTTCGGGTTTACCCACAATTGACTGCCTTTCAATGCTTGGATTCAAATCTCCACCGTTCAGAATGTAGAGTTGTGGCTCATGAACAACATATCCAAAAATCAGAACGATCGGACGGCAAACGAACTCCAGGTCACGATTTGATTATGCACTGTTTACAGACTCAAAAACTCGTATTTCTTCTCCGTTTCTCCTTGTTTTTTGCTTCACTCTCAAACATATACACGATGGTGGAAAAAAGCTGGATGGTGGCTGGCTAAAAAAGATGGCGACTAGAGGAGAACACTCACTCTCTCACGTCACGTTTTGGCTGCTGGATAATGAAGAAGAAGATAAAAATAAGACGGAGTTGTTTCGGGCCTAATTTGTTGGGCCACTCACCTCCAGATGGGAGAGAATGAGTTGAGGCCCAACCCAACACCAATTGCTGCCGGTGATGTGCCATCAGAACTGCTACTTGATCACCCAAGCTGATGTCCCCCCAACACCAATTGTTTTTATTTATTTTTGTTATGTTTTGATTTCCTGATGCTTTGTTGATGTAAAGTGTTAAGGTAGGTGATGAAAATTTGAGTCATGAATTGGAAAACATGTTCATGCTTCAAAAACAAAAGCTTGATTTCTTTCTTTACAAAGAGCCTTTAGAGTTCATTATCTCTTCTTCTTTCCTTGATTTTTTTAAAACAACATGATATTTAAATGCCTATTGAGATGACAAAATTTAAGGAGCTACGAAAAGAAAAAATGGAAGGAAATTAATTTCTTAAGGGGGCACAAATGTAACAGAACTAAAATACTTAGGACTAAAATGAAGTTTCAAATTTTAGCGGGGCTTGAGTGTCCTGTATCTCTAAGAAGAGTTACGAGGTGTGGATACGCGCACGATTTTAGGTTTGATTCTTCATTTGAACATCTATGATTAAAAAGGAAAAAAAAAAAAAAAAAAAAGGCATCCTACCAATAAATGATTTTTTAACTAGAGTAACACTACATTACTTGATACTTGATATACAAGGCATTTTAATGCAAATGGTGTACTCAGTAGTACTATTAAAAAGAATTATTTAAATCAGACTGAAACCATACTACACAACTATAGTTGACATGTCAATGATTTGGAAAGACACTTAAAATAAAGAGATATAAATCAAATTATAAGACGAAAGATTCAATGGGATAATTAAAGTGCATCCCTTAGGTTTGGCATAAACAACACTTGGGTCTAGTGGAAGTTCTTAATTATATATTGATGTTTACAGTAGCTAATCTATGACTTCATAAATAATTCAATTTGCCTTCTAATCTATTTATTAAGTGATTTAGAAGGCCAAAATTGGTTTATATATATTGAGATGAGATAGTGTACTAAATGGATTTTGCAAGACTGAAGCTGTTATTCCAATGCTTGATGTAGTTTCTCTTAATGAGTGGATTGATTCAGTTCTTTGGGAATCTTATTATGTCTTCCCACTTATTGCTTGTTTCAAAATCAGCATCCATAAATCTCTTTGTAAATTTACACAAGATAAATATTTACGCATTAACTATACTAAATTGATGGTTGATGCTGTTAAGTTTAGTCTCCTTTATTTTGTTTATTGAGATAGAAATCGTATTGCAAATTTGTTACACAAAAGGAAAGAGAGATTAATGTGGAGGGATTGAAGAGTCCTGTTAAGACTCTGTTTTCTTCAAACCACTAAATTAATATGTGTCTAAGATGTTTTTAACTTTTGACTAGACTGATGCAAAATTTGTCTCTTAAAGCTTTATACCACTGGATTTATGCAACGCCTTCACATGAACCTTTTACCGTTGATACACTAAAACTTATATTTGGTGTAGCAGAAAGTGTATTGACAGATTATTTGATTAGACACCCACTGCAGCTCTAATGGTTACTTTAGTTTCCCGTGGTGCTGTTCGGCTACACATTGGTAGGCTTTACTGTAGTGCATCTTCTGATCACATACTTCATCAATAAAAGTGAATATGATATCAGGAAACTGCAGTACTAGTGAAATTCAGGATGGACTCTCAAAGAGTCCGCGAATTATTGTGGTTTACATTTCAGAATCTCGCCTTGGTCATTTAGATACCATCTTCCTTTCAACTATTATCTTCACTTTGGTAAGTTTGTTTAGCATTTTATTGTCTTCGAAACGTCGGCTTTCCACTCTAATCCTTTATGATATGATATTTTTGTACCTTCATCTTCGCCTAGATGGAGATAAGATTTATACTTAATAAAATATAAAAATTGATTCTAAATTAGTGACCCGTAACTGTTTTGCCAAGTCTACTCTTGATCGCCTAAATGGAGATAAGATTGGCCGAGCAAAGAGAAGCCATAAGATCTCTCTCTGTTTGCCCAATACCTTAATAAATTAACGCATTATGAAATAATGAAACAAAATTAATACCTTAATAAATTAAGTGCATTATGAAATAATAAACAAAATTAATGAGAATGAACAGGAAGAAGACAAAGAAGATTAAATAGAATCTCACTCACCATCCTTTATAGAAAGGGAGACAATGAGTTGTGACCAACTTTAATAGATCCTATACCTTTTTGAGTAATGCTACAATTACCGAAAAGTTTATATCGAATTTGTGCACCGAATGACGTAGCAAAATCCTGACAATTTATTTATTATCAGTTAATATTAATCAATGGTCAGAATTTTGTCACATCATTCGGTGTACAAATTCGATGTAAACTTTTCGGTAACTCTATCATTTTCCTACATTTTTAACCCTTTATTGAAATGATAAGTAGATTATAAAATTACTCTTTAGCGCTCAAATTAGTAAAATTAGTGAATAACTATGTACATTTCAAATTTCTCTCATCAATACCCTCTCCTTCACCTCTTTCATTCAAACAACGCATTACACAAAATCAAAACCATCCCTAAACATATCGAAATAAATTCTTACGTAATCAACCATCTTCAAACACATCAAAATCAAAACTTCACGTAGGTTAATAACCACATGGGCCCTCTCTCCTTCCAAGCCGGATTTTAAGGATGATATCTACCCATTTGTGGCTGTTACACCTTAGCACCGTGCTTCACTATAGCGTCAATGCTTGCTTTAGTGGGGAATTCTTAAGAAAACTTAGGCTTTTGATATTTACCAAACTTTCTTCTTAAAAAAAAAAGCAAGAAACAGTTCAATTAATATTTGATCTATCGTATTTTTTGGTGCATGTCTTTGCTTTACTGTATTTTTATAGATTTAGTAATTTAATAGTCTGTTGAATAATGCATTTAAAAAAAGAAAAAGAAAGTTTGTTGGCATGTTTCTTTCTTTGCTGTCTTTTTGTTGACTAACAAAACATTTTTAGCCTTTCAAAATAATTTTATTAAACTATTCAAATTCACAAATGTCCTGTATCACTTCAACCCTCTGCTATGGACATCTCTGAGTACGCTTTCCCTTTTCATTTCTTCTACTAAGTCTGTCCATACAAAGTCCAAAACCAGATCTTTCCTTGTATTTTGCTTGAAAATACTTATCACTAGATTTTTCACTGCTTCCCCTTCTTCTGGATCTGGATCCCCTGCTTCTCTTTTAGTAAGCACTAATATCCAAATCACTTCATATTTTAACTTGTAATCCGATTCTATCCACTTTTTTGCGTCTAAATTTCGCTGGAATAATTTCCTTGTCACTATTTTACTGTTATTGTGGTTTTGTTCCCTGGTTGTCCCGTTGTTTTCTCTGTTTTGTTTTATTTTTTTTATTATTATTATTATTATTTTTTGTTCAGCTCTATTTTTTCTAAGGAAGGAAAAACGGGTTGAGAATGGAAGAAACTGCAGGGAATGCTGTTTTAGAAGTTGGAAAGTGCTTAGGTGCTCCTATAGGGCGTCCATTTATGTACTTGTACAACTACAAAAGCAACTTTAGCAATCTCGAAAAAGAAATTGGAAAGCTGAAGGATGCGAGAGATGAGGTGAAGGATAAGGTTGTTGCAGCTGAAAAGAACGTGAAAAATATCAAACAGCAGGTTAAAGACTGGCAGAGGGATGTGGATTCCATCATTGATGAAGCAGAGAAGTTGATTCAAGAGAAAACAAACAGCCGATGTTTCAACTTGATCACCTTTTACAAAAATAGCAGGAAAGCATCGAAAAAGGTGAAGGCTGTAGCTGAATTCCTGCAGGAAAAAGAAACATGCAGTGAAGTTTCCCTTCCTACCACTCATGAAGACATTCGGCTTAAGAACAAAGATTACGAGGAATTTGAATCAAGACTCTCAACTTTGAATGGTGTCTTGAACGCTTTAGCAGATACTGAGGTGGCATTATTGGGGTTTTCGGAATGGGTGGCATTGGCAAAACCATGCTGGTCAAAGAAGTTGGTCAGCAATCCAAGAAAAAACAGCTCTTGGATGAGGTATCTGATAAAGCAGACACTAAAAAGATTCAAGATGAACTAGCAAATCAGTTACTTCTGAAATTTGAGACGGAGGCAGAAAGTGAACGAAATAGAGAAGCAACAGGAACAAAATAATAATAGTTAAACAAAACAAACAGTAAACAAAGAATGTAATGCGCGCGATTTACCCTGGTTCACCCAATGTAGGCTACGTCCAGCTGAGTCAATATTATTGCAATATGCCTCACCTCTCTCGTTTACAATGAATGAATTGTTCTCACACCCATAACAAGAGAAAAGTATGTTTATATACTAGGTTTAAGGGATTAAACCTAGTTTTACAAGAATTCCTATTCCTAAGCCCAACCCAAAAAGGAATTAATAACTTAAAAGGAATCCTATAGCGGTTATACATGGAAAAGCCCAAAACCGCCTACGGGCTCGGGGGCGCTGCCCCCGCGACCCCCGCCCGCTCACCGGGGAGCGGGGCACCCGCCCGCTGACCGGGTAGCGGGACCCCCGAGTGCGTCTCCGTTACCCATTAATACTGAAGTAGTCGACAACTCCAACAGAAAGAGCAAGTAAGTTTTATGGTTTTACATGGAAAATAAATAAATAAATGCGCCAAACTTCGTTCCGCGATTTCACTTTATACTTTGTTATATACTGTATCTATCAATTTGATAAATGAATATAACAATTATTTATTATCGAAGCACATAATGTACTATCAAAAGTTAGCGTAGCAAATTCAAAAGTAATTTTGAAACATTTATAACATATTCAGTATATATTTTTGCCCCTTTGACCAGCAATCCAACTCCCCCTGCAGGTGATGTTGTTGATCAAACAATTATCAAGCGGGATTATCTGCCGAACGACGTATGTATGGAATTTGTGTTAAAAAGTTCTAATTTTCAAGCCAAAGTTTGTCCTTTTATGTACTCATTTACTGCTTTGAGTAGACAAGTGTCTTAATTGTGTGATACATTTGGTTAAATTAAAGAGAAGGAGGAGATCTTAAAAGATACATTAGATCATTAATGAAAGTTCTGTTTTGGGTATGGGTAGGTTGGAGCAGAAGATGAGGCCAAAGACAAACGGATGAAAGGTTGTGCTGAAGAGGGAGATTCAAAGATCACAGAGCAAAACAACAACAACAACAAAAGTAACAGCAATAACAACAGAGAAACATCTGGTGATACTTCTAAAGAGAATTCAAAAGTTTCTGAGGTTCAAAAACCTGATTACATCCATGTCCGAGCACGCCGCGGTCAAGCCACTGATAGTCATAGCTTAGCTGAAAGAGTGAGTTGCAGTTTCAGTGTTTTCTGGCTTTGTTATCAGTAGATGTTATGAACAAAGTTTAATCATATTATGCTGTAATTATGCAGGCTAGAAGGGAAAAAATCAGCGAGAGAATGAAGTATTTGCAAGATTTAGTACCGGGGTGCAACAAGATCACTGGAAAAGCTTTAATGCTTGACAAAATCATCAACTATGTTCAATCTCTTCAACGACAAGTAGAGGTAATAATTTAACATGCTTACCAGTTTCAGGAGTTAGTACTTCATATTGTTAATCAACTGGATCTTCTCCTTTGTGATCATCACAATCAACAGTTCCTATCAATGAAACTAGCTGCTGTCAATCCCAGGCTTGACTTCAACATTGACAACTTCTTTGCCAAAGAGGTGAGGCAACATGTCTAAATTAAGCAGACTTTGATGTTGGATTTTAATGGCTGTCTAATTGTTACTGGCTGACTTAATAGGTGTTTCCTGCTTGTCCACCCAATTTTCCACCAATTGGAATGTCATCAGATATGAATAATCCTGCTTATCTTCAGTCTAATCCTGTACAACAACAAGTAGTTTCATGTTCTGGATCGGAAATGGGAATCAATCCTTCTGATATGGGGCTACGGAGAACCATCAGTGCTTCCCCGGAAACATTTCTTGATTCATCTTGCTTCACTGTAAGTAATTTATTAATCCTTTCTACAGTTTGTATCACATTTACTTGCTGTTTTACTCACATAGATATATACTACTGACATTGCAGCTACAGCCCTCTTCAATATGGGATGCTGATTTACAAAACTTTTACAATTTGGCCTTTGATCAAGGAAGATCAACAACAACATCAACACCCTTCCCATCTCAAGCATTTACAGGTACAGAAATCTAAATATGTCTTGTCAAAACTTGTGCTTGTTGTTTAGATTATTTTTCAAGTGATAGATACCTCATAGAGCCCCACAAATGTTAATTGATTTCACTTTGGAAAAACTGGGGTCCTATGCAAACTTTCTATCCTTTTCATTCTAAAATGATTAAAACTATAGATTTTTTTTTTTTCCATGATCACAGTATTCCCACGACAGTTATTTCTTCAAAAGAAAGACCAATTGAAGTTGTAATGCATTTCGGCTCCCCATATGACACCATAGCCATCTACTGCAACCTATAAAAGCAAAACTGGATCCCCATTTTTTAATCCTTTAGATCATCAAACAGTTTCAATAATTCTGATTGTTTACTCATCCCCAAGAAAACAGATAAATGAATATAACAATTATTTATTATCTAAGCACATAATGTACTATCTAAAGTTAGTGTAGCAAATTCAAAAGTAATTTTGAAACATTTATAATGTATGCGGTATATATTTTTGCCCCTTTGACCAGCAATCCAACTCCCCCTGCAGGTGATGTTGTTGATCAAACAATTATCGAGCGGGATTATCTGCCGAATGATGTATGTATGGAATTTGTGTTAAAAAGTTCTAATTTTCAAGCCAAAGTTTCTTCTTTTATGTACTCATTTACTGCTTTGAGTAGACAAGTGTCTTAATTGTGTGATACATTTGGTTAAATTAAAGAGAAGGAGGAGATCTTAAAAGATACATTAGATCATTAATGAAAGTTCTGTTTTGGGTATGGGTAGGTTGGAGCAGAAGATGAGGCCAAAGACAAAAGGATGAAAGGTTGTGCTGAAGAGGGAGATTCAAAGATCACAGAGCAAAACAACAACAACAACAAAAGTAACAGCAATAACAACAGAGAAACATCTGGTGATACTTCTAAAGAGAATTCAAAAGTTTCTGAGGTTCAAAAACCTGATTACATCCATGTCCGAGCACGCCGCGGTCAAGCCACTGATAGTCATAGCTTAGCTGAAAGAGTGAGTTGCAGTTTCAGTAATTTCTGGCTTTTTTTATTATCAGTAGATGTTATGAACAAAAGTTTAATCAGATTATGCTGTAATTATGCAGGTTAGAAGGGAAAAAATCAGTGAGAGAATGAAGTATTTGCAAGATTTAGTACCGGGGTGTAACAAGATCACTGGAAAAGCTGGAATGCTTGACGAAATCATCAACTATGTTCAATCTCTTCAACGACAAGTAGAGGTAATAATTTAACATGGTTTATCAGTTTCAGGAGTTAGTTCTTCATATTGTTAATTAACTACAGTTCCTATCAATGAAACTAGCTGCTGTCAATCCCAGGCTTGACTTCAACATTGACAACTTCTTTGCCAAAGAGGTGAGGAAATATCTTTGCCAACAGTATTCCCACGACAGTTTTTTCTTCAAAAGAAAGACCAATTGAAGTTGTAACGCATTTCGGCTCCCCATATGACACCATAGCCATCTACTGCAACCTATAAAAGCAAAACTGGGTCCCCATTTTTTTATCCTTTAGATCATCAAACAGTTTCAATAATTCTGATTGTTTACTCATCCCCAAGAAAACAGATAATCAAAAAGAAAGAAGATAATCACATGCCCACAACCGCAAACTCCCATGAGCCCATTTATCACAAGTATTGTATCTGAAAGTTTATAAACTGATTATTGCAGGTTCCATTGAAGCTAGCAATTTAAAGATGGAGATGTGAAATCAGAGAAAGAGTCATGATACAATTCCTTTAATGAGCTATTGTTTTCTGATGCCTTTTGATCCAGATTCTTTTTTTGTTGGCTAAGTACATAGCGTATATAAATATTTGTATGTATACTTGAGACACAGTATTGAATAAGACTAATACCTATTAACTTCAGCTTTATCTGTTTATTGCATTCTGATCACACCAATCTTGATTTTAAGTTGAATATGATAAAATATAGATGGAGAAGGAGATGGAGTAAGGGAAACTAACAATGGGTTGGCCGAGTGGTAAAGGCTTAGGCCTAAAGACCGGGAGGGTGGTTTTGGTGTGATATTGTTATTCCAATGGGTTGGTCGAGTGGTAAATCCCTTCATTGGCCACCCCTATTAACAATCCAGGTGTATCGAACTCAAGACCTCTTAAGTAATAAATCCAAGAGTCCTAGTTGACTACTGGACCACCCAATGGTGGATAAGATTAGTCATTTATGTCCTACGAAAATATTTATATTCGTAAGACAAAAAATTCGTTCATAAAGGTAGGCTAAATGGAGGATGGTGAATTTTCCACCATCAACCATTTTGTTGAATATCTGCATTCTGTTAGCAGATTGGTTTGGTCTACTTAATTGAAAATTAGGATGTCTAATCAATCTTATCAGAGACCATATAAACTAACTAGGCAGTAAAAGAAAATTTCATTTTGGAGCTTATATATAGATGAATGGTTAAAGAATTTCTGCATTTGTAACTTACTTCGATGAACTTATGAGAATCCCCTCTAATTATCCACATGCAGATGCCACCGACAATGATTGATTCAAGTTCAATATGATACTCATAGAAACCAGAGAGCTGGAGATGTTGTTAGTTGATAGGAGCTAAGGTGGCATAGAGATTACAGGATGCAGCCTAGCTGCATCAAACAATACAAAAATGACTAACATTTCCATGCTTGGTGCTTTTGAAGACTAGGATCCATGGATCTAATGCGCTTACTGTCATGCATTTCTTTAAATTTTGCACCAAGGCAATCAGACATTAATTTCAGTCACATGACTCAGGATCATATTCAAAAAAATTACAACAATCAATCTTATCAGTGCCAACAGAGGACTAACAATACCATCAAGCCAAAAGAATCAATGACACACCAATACTACAAAATAATACACATTTTGCAGTCCTGCTAACTATATGACCAATCAAAATATTACAGAATACACAGCGTTCATGACTTGCAATTTCTTACGTGTTCCTAGTTCCATCATATCAATGATTCATCACCAGCTTCTGCCAATCCAAACAATAATGAACTCTGTGTAACTAACCCCAGCAATGTAACTTTGAATTACTCAATGAAAATTTCAGTTTTTTGATGGTAGTATCTTTTCCAGGAACAATTACGACAGGAGCAGATTTACAATTGTGGAAGCAATACTCACTCACACTTCCCTGCGGTACACTGTACAAAAATCCAACAACATACAAGAGAAGCATTACCACAGTAAGATAAGGCATTACAATAGTAAAAATAAAACACACTAACACACAGAAAGAACCTTTGCATTAAGCTTCTGCCTCGGGTACCCATAACCACAGCTGCAGCCTTTATCCTTTCAGCTTCCTTGCAAATTACCTTACCCGCTTCACCTTGCACAATCCAAGCCTCGGTCATCACCTGGTCCATGTCAGTTACAATAATTTAATGCTAACTCTTCTCATAACACCTTGCATTGATTCTCAAAGTTACAATACTACACAGCAACCATATGAAGGTTTCAATATAAACTACAACATCCTTCTCTCTCATTTATTGAATTCACATTTTTATTTTCACTCTTTCCATTCATTTTGTGACACATCAATTTATGTACAAAGTTTGTCCATTCATGTTACCAAGTTCTTTGACAGCTAATCATATACTAATTTAAAATTTATATTGAAGGGCATGATCGAGGGAATTATAATCCTGTAACTGTGCTGTATATCAATGAAGAAGCAAACTTTACAAATATGGAGTTGTAACATACATACAAAGCTAAGAACAAGGACCCAGAAGTCTTTCAGCAGCTCATTGTTAGCATTGATGCAGGCTTCAAATCAAGTAATTTTGGATCAAGCCTAGTACTGCTATTTGATGTTTTTTTCACTTGACCTATAAAGGATATCATCAGTTGATCCACTTCATTAAACTAACATAAACAGAAACTCCAACTAATTTTAGAAATCAAACAAATCTAGCAGATTTTCTTTTTTAACATCTCTCAAACAGAAACGGATGAAGTTCACAAAAGACTATTAAAAAAGAAAAGCAAATCAATCATTGACTGACCATAGCAACTTCAATAGCCTCTAGAGCAAGCTTCTGCATGAGCCCCCGGCTGGCCTCATAAACAATCTCGTTATTCACACCTACAAGAACAAACCCACCAAAACCCACATAGCAAAATTCAATCTTTCATCAAAATCCACAAACTACACGACCAAACAAATAAGAAAAAAAGGTATGGTTTCATACTTGAAAGTTGAAACTGCATGAACAAGATGGATGGTGTCAGCAAGCCTGCAGAGATGAATGAGGGCCCAATCAAAAGGATGCTTGCTGTTAGGACCATGATCAACGGCTATCAATATGTCTCTGCCTCTCCTTCTCTCGCTCCTCTCTCTCTCCAGCTGTAAACTTCTTCATCTTCCTTCACCGGTTCCATTGTTCAGTTTGAAAGCAAACTATTTTACGAAATTTCAGGAAAAGAAAAAAAAAAAGAATCTTGTTTTTATTCTTTAATCAGATGGTCTCTTGATATAAGGCATTCCTGTAGTATGAAAGAAGAGTCTTGTGCGGTTGTGCCAGCCAGCCAGCCGAGAAAAAAGCAGGTTGCAAAGCTGAAATTCTACACGTGTAGTCAAAAAAGGTTGGGGATGGAAATTGGAATGTTATGCAGCTGGGCCGAAATGGGCCCATCCATGAAGGGTTGGTGGTCAGTTTTCTGACAGCAAAGTTTGATTCCATTACTTTACAAATAGCGAGCCTTTACCGTTTAAAAACAGCCATAATATGGAGATGAACTCAGCATGCAGATGTTTCACTCTTTATTTGCATAAAACATGAATCTCGTTATTCACAATGACAGAAATAAACCCACCAAAAACCACAAACAAAATTCAATCTTTCATAAAAAACAACAAACTACACGACCAAACAAATGAGAAAACAAGTACGGCTTCATACTTGAGACAGCATGAACAAGATGGATGGTGTCAGCTACCCTGCACAGGTGGATCATCAGGGCGGCCCAATCAAAATGCATTCTTGCCGTTGGGTCCATGATTCTTCTTCACAAAGACACAAGTAATAGAGAAATTACATGCGCTACCTACGGGCTACGGCTACTTATCAAAGCGCAGAAGAGCGAGGCATCCGAAATGTTGTGATCTCATATCGGATAAAATTACTAATATAATAAAACCTCATCAAAACACATTATAAATAGGATTCTACCAAAAACTTTAAAAATAAGCATCACTTTCTACCATATAATTGATTGCCTGGGAAAAAAAATATTAAAACCATACAAGAATCTGAAACAAAGAAAGGAAAATTGGAAAAGGAGAAAAGAGTTAAAATTCAAGTGAAGACGGAGAATAAAATTCATATCCTTTTCTTTTATGATTCATAATTACATATAACAGAGTACAGAAAAGGATCCAAGGTACAACTGCCCAACCTGAAACCCCTATCAACTAAAATACGCCATAAATGTTCTTAGATTTTGCTACTAAGACTGTTACAAAATTGTGACAACTTATACCTGGCAGTGCAACTATAAAATCTTTGCCCAGAAGAAAGTTGTAAAGGAAGGACATGATCGACGTATTTCAAAACCCTGCGACGTCTGACTTATATTTGCCAGTACCAAACAATTCCGGTGACTAACCCAACAGCAAAGCTCATGCTGTTAATCTTTTGTCCTTGATTTTTTTTCTTTTCAGCATTGGAAATAACCACGGCCTCCTAAAAGGAAACCAAATTACCTGTTAGAATTGTTGTATTTACTTCCTCCTGTGCCTGCCCTTGAGTTTCTTGATTTTTATTTGAGACTCGTAAACACCGTAGCTGCCCAATGTGAAGCTACCTCCAGCATTGAAGTCTAAACTACCAGAAGCCTGAAATGGAGAAGGGTTCTGGGGGGTGGCTAGACTCTGTTGGCTTCCAACTTGGAAAGGATTTGCTCTTGATGGAGTTGTTGAACCAAAGACAAAGCCAGTCGAAGGTGTCATGGGTTGTTGACCAAATATTGGAACTGCAGGTGTGGATGCCTGAACTGTGTCCTCAGCCATGCTGTCTTCCATAACCACTTGATCATTATTATTATTTGAGGGAGTAGAACCAAATGCAAACACAGAAGCCGCATTACCAAAGGCAGGTTGTGATGAGGTGGCTGCTGCAGCTGAAGAAAACGGAAAAATGGAACTTGATGTGGTATTCGTGGATGACCCAAACAAAAGGAGCACTGATAGTAGCAGCAGACGAAGATGTTGTTCCAAACAGAAACCTGGTTGAGGGAGATGAAGAGTTGAATGTTGAAGCAAATGAGAGAGTCTTAGGGGCTTGCCAACTGGAACCAAAGACATCGTTAGTAGAGCCACTGGTGGAGCTGATTGAGTTGGCCTCTGATGAAGAAGTGCAATTCAATTCAAATGTAGAAGTTGAGGAGCCATATAAATAACTGCCAGAGGAAAAGGCGGGATTCCCAGCCAACCCAAATGAGGTAGATGGCGAAATTGATCCAAATATATTAGGCGTGCTCTGAGTTGAAGTTGCAAGAACAGTTGCATTAACAGATGCCTGAGCACTTCCAACACTAAAAGGGTTAGAAACTTGAGCCTGGTTGGTAGAAGCTGAAGAAGTAGCTCCCACACTGAATCCAAAGATGCTACTTCCAGTGCTTGGGATTGCAGAAGATGTACCGCCAAAAACACTACTTCCTGTGCTAGCAATAGGTGGAGTTACAGCACCAAAAATGCTACTTCCAGTGCTTGCCGATGGCGTACTGCCAAAAATGCTACATCCAGTGCTTGCCGATGGCGTAGGCATACTGCCAAAAATGCTACTTCCAGTGCTTGCCGATGGCATACTGCCAAAAATGCTACATCCAGTGCTTGCCGATGGCATAGGCATACTGCCAACAATGCTACTTCCAGGGCTTGCCGATGGCGTACTGCCAAAAATGCTACATCCAGTGCTTGCCAATGGCGTAGGCATACTGCCAAAAATGCAACTTCCTGAGCCAATTGCTGCCGACGATGTGCCCCTAGAAGTGCTACTTCCTGTGCCTGCAAAAGTTGATGTCCCCCACAAAAAAGCATGGTGGTAGAATTACCACAGTTGGGCTCCTTGATCTCCGGTTAGTAAGGCCTCTGCCTCTCCTTCTCTCTCGAGCTCTGCTACTGGCACCTTTGGTTTTAAAGGCGGTAACTTCATCTCTCTCTCTAGCTGTACACTTCTGCATCTTCCTTCACCGGTTCCATTGTTCAATATGAAAGCAAACTATCTTACGAAATTTCTTGTTTTTATTTATTCTTGTTATGTTTAGATTTCTGATATTTTGTTGACGTAAGGTGTTAAGGTTGGTGGTGGAAATTTGATCATGAATTGGAAAACATGTTCTTGTTTCAAAAACAAAAGCTTGATTTCTTTCTTTGCAAAGAGCCTTTAGAGTTCATTATCTCTTCTTCTTTTTCCTTCCTTTATTTTTTCTTCACCACCGCCTTCTTCTTTTCTTTATCTCTTTTTTTCTTTTCCCTATTTCTTCTTTTTTCTTTTCTTTTTCTTCTTCTTCACCGAGTTGACCCTTCATAGCCCAAAGGAGTTCAGATGGCGTCACGGTTTAGGTCCTCGTTTAATGCATTTCTGAAACTATGGGGGGCATTTTGAACAAAATCTACATAGTTCCCCCACAAAGACATTTATTAAAACTGTGGGGGCCAAAGTAAAGTCAGTTACTCTCCTGTTAGAAGCCACTCTCTGAGATTTATATGCTCAGCCTTTTCCCAACATTTTCCCCCACTTTCCATGTAGCTCCATAGTTCGTCATGGAGTCCAATTTTTCTGTCTCGGGGTGGAACATAAGAAGCCAATCCATAGTCATTATAGTCATTATTTTACAAACTATGTGGCACATGACATACGATTCACAATATTTAATATTATATAAGTGTCATTTAAGCTCACATGCCATGTGGTGCTGATGTGGCATGCCACGATCAGTTATGCATACTTGCTTGTCATGTGTGTATGACTTTTTAATAAGACTTTGTTAGTTGGATTAAGTGGTTGACTCAGAATTTTCGGTAAGTCTTATATCAAAATATAATTAAAAAAAACATAGTTTAAAATTTAGAATAATATATGATAACCAAAAGTTCATATAAAGGGATAATAATTATTACATTCTATTGAAAAATTCTTTGAATTTGTTTTTTTCTATAAAAATAAAGATGTCAATTAATAAGTTTTATGGAGAGCAAAACTAATAAACAAACAAATATATATATATATATATATATATATATATAGAGAGAGAGAGAGAGAGAGAGAGAGAGAGAGAGAGAGAGAGAGAGAGAGAGAGAGAGAGAATTTTATCACAATTATGACTATGTTAAAGTTGATTATTTACAATTTCTGTTAAATAAAAAATTATTAGAGTTAAAAAAACCTAAAGATTGATGGTAGTTTTAAGGGGGCACAAACGTAATAGAACTAAACACCTAGGATTAATATGGTCAGCGGCTATTAATTTTTTTTGTTATGTTTTGTTTTCGGGAAGTGATTTTTAGCCCCCATCAAATTGATCAGTGTGCCCCACTTTTAAATATTTTTCTGTCATGACAATTTTAACCTTAATGAAAATTACTAGAAATAATTTATAGTTTATAATTTTGTTTTAATTTTTAACTTTTAATTATTAGTAATGAAGGATACTAATCAATTAGATAGTGCTGAAAATCACTTCCCTTTGTTTTCTTATGGTTTGTTGATGGATATTGGAATGGTATGCGGATGGGCCGATTTATGAATGGTTTGTGGTGGAAATTTGAGTCATGAATCCAAAAGAAAAAAGTTTGATTTCTTTCTTGAGAAAATGATATATTCCCACTCAAGGTTTACAGAAATCCTAATTTGATACCTTTGATTGCATTTATTCCAGATTTTCACCCTTAAAGTAACAATGTTTTCTTTATTGTAACAGATTCTCAATTTTTCCTTGTAACATGGCACACATTAGCATGCTAAAGTGCATTGACGCTTTTATTGATAGAAGATGAGCTCATATTAGCAAAAAGCGGCTCATGTTAGCAGCATCCAAGCCGACAATTTTTTGCTTTTTTTTGGTCGATTTCAAAGCTCAAAATCACTTCCAAACCATCGTTGGACTCCTCACAATCTTCCCTACAAAACCCATACCTTCCCTTGCTGACCTCACTCACTGTTTTCGACCACCACCAACAGTCACTAACAATGTTAGTTTAAAGGTGGGAATTTGGAATAAATGCAACCAAGGGTATTAATTTGGGATTTCGCTAAACCTCTAATAGGAATATATCTTTACTGGCTCTTTCTTTTACAAAGAGCCTTTAAAGTTCTGTTTGTTAAAAGCAGCCAC